TATATGATGTTTAAGAGCAAACTAAAAAGAAAATGGGTATTTTAAGAACATCTTAGCTTTTCTTACGTAAGATGATAATAAATAAAATGCTCTGTCTGAATTGAATAGACACAAGTGGGTGGCATGTGAACAGTTAAAGAGTCATTTCAATAATGTTATGGACAAGACTGTTTTTATCTTCTCACGGAGTCATCAGAAATATCTAGGAAGAATGCAAGCTGAAACTAATTTACATTAGATTTTCATTGGGATTATTCTGGTGTTTCTGTACGGTGAGATGTCAGGATTGTTGTGGGTTACTGAATGTATTAGATAAGGTAATAGTTATTTCCAGCCTATAGTATAGTGCATAGGGTTGTAGAAACTAACTAACTGGCAGTTCCAGAGCCAAAAATATATATCATTATCATTTAACAATAATTTTGTGGTAGCTGGTTGCATCAGGGCCTTTCCTCCTGTAGACTTTGTTCTGGTTCTCCTTCTGTCCTCTGACCGTTAAGTTTGATTTTTCTGCTAGCCAGCCAATGGATGGTTAAAGAGATTATAACTGTAAATGACTTCATAACATATGCATTTGAATGATGGTGTATGCATGATAGTTCATGAAGCCTTATGAGAAGCTCTGAGAGGTTCAGCTGTGAGTGGGAGGGCTTATCTGTGTTTCACCTACTGTCTACCCACTTTCTCTTAGGACAGGTAAAAACAAAACAAAACAAAACAATCAAAACAAAGGAAAAACCAAAAACAACCAGCCATACCCTATTTGGTTGCATGGTGAGAACATCTAATTGTGTTTTTGTTGTGGTGGTTTTTTCCTAAGTACAATAGTCAGAAGAAAACTGAAGTTGAAGGAAATTGCTGTAATACCTAGTGAAGGCTTCACAATCAGTCCTGAACCCAAACTGGGATGTGTAAGATATCTCATGCCCTTCTACGATTCTGTTTATTCTAACAATATAAACAACACCTATAGTGTACTGGGACACGCACATGTGTATCTTGATAACATGTGTCATCATTAAGCCAGGAAATCTGCCTGTGAACTTGCACTTTTAGTCAGTAGTTCTGTGATGCTGCTAGACCTGTTTAAGTAGTAAAGGTAAAGCTTGCATGCAGTTGGTTATTGAGAGTACTTGCTTTTCTCCTTAGATTATCAGTACCTTTGCTTGCCAATCAAGGCTGGGCCTTAGCTACTACAACACATTTATGATTGTGTTTGTGTGTGTGTAGGACAGACATTGATATCTGGTATCATCTATTGCTTTCTACCTTATTTGTTGAGGTATATCTCTCAATGTGATCAGTGTTCCAGCTAGACCGGCTGATGAGCAAGCCTTTGGGGGCTGCCTGTCTCTGTCCTGATAGTCTGGGGTTACAGAAGAGCACTGCTATGCTCTGCTTTCACATGGGTGCTGGGCTCCAAACTCATCTTACCATGCTTGCGCCTCAGACTACTTAGTGACGGAACCATTCCTCACCCCTTATCTTTACTTTCATTTTTTTTATTATTATTATAACCCTCATTTTGGCTTTATTGTTAGTATTTTTTTTCTATAGTGCTTGAACTACATTAAAAAAAATCACTTGGCATGGGGGCATATGTGTAATCCCCACACTTGGGGGATAGAGGAAGAACATCATGACTTTGAGGCCAGCCTGGACTCCCTAGTTAGACCATCAACGAAGAAGCAAAACAGACTTGTAAAATAACAACCCTCAACACCACATCTTTGCAAATGCAATTCTTAAAGCTTTTCAGCTAACACATTTTTTTTTTTTCACCTTTATCCTGATTTTAAAAACCAAGGAGTGCCTGCCTGCTTTTTCTGCTTTGAGTGTCTATCAAGGATGGAAAGGGTTTCTGGAGAAGGGTAACCCTGTCTGCTCATCTTTATAATGTGCTGAAAATAAAACAGTCCATCTCCAAGTATATTCTTTCCCCCAGTGTTGCCATTTGTTCCGGTATCTCCGAGAGTATTATGGGAAATAATTACCATGTCCATATTTCAGCTCCAGTGAATCATGGATTAGTTTATCAGCTAGAAGATCATCTTTACACTTGATTATGATGGATAATCTTTATTGTTGATCTGAGTGGATTGGTGCAGGAGATGAATCCAACTCACCTATGGGTTTAGTCCTACATTGCTGGAGTAGATTGAGAGTGGAAGTCTTACAGGGAGCACCATCCAGTGGGCTGTGAATTCGGATGGGGTTAAAGTGGGAATGAGGAAGACCTCAAAGACGTAATCATTGCATTCTTCCTACCTGGTCACCTTGAGGTGAGGTGCTTTGGTCCATTACTTCTTTCCCTTCTTCAAGTTCAGCAGTCAGTTAGCTGTAGACTGAGACCTTGAAACTGAGGTAAATTAAATTCTTTTTAGTTGTTAAGTTGTTTAGATCAGGCATTTGCCTCAGTGGTGAAAAGTCTAACATGCTTATGTTTTTTGAAATATGTGAAATTTTGCCACATCTGATGCTTAAATGTCCACAAATCCAGAGATGGAAATCTGCAGAAAACAACTCAAGAACATTTTAATAAACTGTTCTGAGGAAGTGATTTCTGCGAAAGGAGGTGAAAGTCACACATGGTAGCTCACATATTATACTTCAGGGGCTGAGGCAAATGATTAATGAAGTTTTGAGGTTAGCTTGGGCTATATAATGTGAGACCCTACCTAAAAAATAGTTTTGCTGGGTGATGGTGGTGCACGCCTTTAATCCAAGCACTCAGGAGGCAGAGCCAGGTGGATCTCTGTGAGTTTGAGGCCAGCCTGGGCTACCAAGTGAGTTATAGGAAAGGCGCAAAGCTATGCAGAGAAACCCTGTCTCAAAACAACAACAACAACAACAAAAATAATTTTATGGATTGTATAAAGTGGAGAAAAGTACAGAAAAATGTACGTAATGATTAAAATTGTGGAATTTGGCTTTGGGACAAGATTTAAATTTTGTCTTTGTCTCAGGAATGCCTTGTTTCAAAACGCCACAGTTTTTCACATGTGACAAAGGTACAAAATGTCATTTTGTACCAGGGCTGTTCTGAGAAGTAACTTTAATGGAATGTGTATTTAAGGCAATTAGTGTGTTTCTTGGGCAGATACTAAACACTGAAATCAGTAGTATACATTGTTGATTTTATTGCTCTTAAGTTTTCTGGGTGCTGAGATAAAATTCAGATATGCATTTCTGGGTGCTGAGATAAAATTCAAATATGCAGATATCTAGAGACGGAAATCTGGAGAAAATTAAGCACACCTGAATATGCTTAATATAAATTGAGACAAAAGTGTCTGAGTGTTCTTAACAGGAGTCTGGGTTTTATGCATTTATTTGAGCATGTAGAAGTGGCTAATATGGTTTGCTTAATTACTTGACACTTGGTTCAACAATGCCATCATTTAATCTCTTTGAGACTCCTAAGCATCTTTTGTTATGAAGGAAGGAAGGAGACATTGGTAGACTGGTAGAGTATATCTTGTATGTTCTGGGTACTCTTCTGTAACACTCAAATCCTGGTGAAGTTCTAGAAGACCCACCATTGATTACGAATGGAGAAACGTGTTGAGGAGATAGGCAGATCTCGGTGGCATCTGTGATCTGGGGACCTGGAATACACTGCTGCCACTGCTGCCATTGACCTAGTAGGCACCTTGATTTCAGTGGGCACCGTGGCTTTCTGGAGTTCGAAGGCTCTAACAGTGCCTAGGCTTCAAGAGTACAACAGCTGTACTTTTTGTGATAGGCTTCAAGTGTAGGTAGAAATGGAGCCTTCTGTGGTGTTAGCTGATTGATCCCAATGTCTTTTGGAATGCAGTAGATTGGATCATACTATGATTTCCTTGTGGTGGAAATGAGTATGAGCATGCTTATTTCTTAGTATGACAGAAATTCTAGATATGTACTATAGAGACTTGACTACTGTTACTGACACAGTAGCTCTGTAATAACGGAAGACTCATTTTCTGTGAGAGAAGACGTAGAATACCTACCATAAATAAATACTTTACATCTTGCCATTTACTAGGAAAACGCCCAGGCATATAAAAATTAGTAAAATATGTTCTCAATTATTCACTGGGATCTATAAGCCACTATGATGTACAAGTAAAATTGGACCTTGATCACTTGGTACATTGCTTTTTTTTTTTTGACTTTGGGCTTCGCTTATGTATGCTGAGCTGATCTTAAACTCATGATCCTCTCCCTCAGCCTCCTGAGTGCTGAGATTATTGATGTATGTCACTACGGTCTGACCCTCAGTAAATTAACTCTGGGTTGAATTTGCCTCACTGTGAGTCCAGTGGGTCAACTAGCAAATCCCCAGTCATTCTTCCTATTTCCCGATTGCAGCAAGATGCGTATCATTTTCAGATGTTTTTCTTAATGATTTATTATGGAATGTGAACTATTTAGGGAAACCAAAGGCAGCCCTAAACTGCCATTCACTAACAAAACAAAAATGATCCCTAGTACTATATCCCTGGCTAAATCCAGAATATTGGACTCTTTTCAAGGTCTTGAAGGAAGCAACAATAGAGATTACCAAAACATCCTCTTGAGGTGCTGCTTTTAAATTTTTTATTCTTTGAGAATTTCATACATGCACACATTAAAATATGATTTTATATATAGTCTCTTCCCCATGTCTCCCCTCCAACTTACTTAATTCCTCCCAATAGCTTGCCCTCTTAAGTTCATTTCCTTTCCTCCTCTACAACCTTCTCCTCCTCCTCTTCTTTAATAATTCAGTAAGTCCAATTAGTCCTGATTATATGTATATAGGTATGGGGTCAGCCACTAGAACTCTGGAAAACTACCGATGACCACACCCTCAAGGGAAAATGATTCTCGCTCCCCTATATGTTATAAACTTCCAATAGCTCCTCAGTTAGGAGTGTGGCATAAGGATAATCTTCACCATCTTCAAAAGATCAAGCCAGACAAAATTCTCATGTAGTTTTTTTTTTTTTTTTTTTTTTTAAGATTTATTTATTTATTATGCATACAGTGTCTTGCTGGTGTTATGTCTGCAGGTCAAAAGAGGGCACCAGATCACATTACAGATGGTTGTCAGCTGCCATGTGGTTGCTGGGAATTGAACTCAGGACCTTTGGAAGAGCAGCCAGTGCTCTTAACCTCTGAGCCATCTCTCCAGCTCTTTTTGTAGTTTTTGTGCAGGTGGCCATAGCTGGTGTCAGAAGCTTCTTTTTGCAGTGGGCAGTGGTCAATGCAGTGACGCACGACTGGTAAAGGCACAGAAAAGAAGAAACTTAGTTGTCATCCTTTACGGTACATCTTTATCTCCACCCACAACCCCCGTGTAAGAGCTGTAGGATGGGGAAGAGTGCCCTGAATTGCGGTCATTTGGACATGATATGGATATTGAACTCATGACTTGCTAGTTTTATGGATACATCTTAGAGAACCATCTTTGTATGGCAATCAATATAGTTCTTTGTAGTATATAGCAATTAATTGGACAATTAAAAAAATACTAATTAGTAGAGCACTGAACACTTTCACAGTTTAATGCCAACATGATTGTGGGAGCCCGTTCTTGGGTTCCTCATGGCTTTACCCAGCAGGTCCGAATAGAGGATGATCAGGACCACGGGCCTGAGTGCAGGTGTCTGAGATGGTCTGCACTTGGCTGTGCTGGGGGAGGTCTTTTGCTCCACCCCTTGGCGTCTCTATAAAAACCCTGGGCCAGAGATAGTCGGGGCCCGTTGGAATAGGTTCCAGGCCCTCTCGAGGCTATCCTTTATTTTCTATCTGTTTATCTCCACAACAGTCCCCGCTATAAATCCTTCTATCTAATATTTCCTGCTGCTCGCACTCAAGAAAACTCTGTGAAGCTGTGGGGGTGGTGGGTAAACGCCCTACAGAATGGCGCCGTGAACAGGGACTAAAGAAAAAAGAAAAAAAAGGGACTGAATTCAGAAAAAAAGGGGACTAAAAAAAAGGGGGGGACTAAAGACAAATGAACAGGGACTAAAGACAAAGTAATAGGGACTAAAGATAAAGGAAAATAATAGTTTTATTACAGAGTTTTTGGTGAAAGTGCTGAGTCAGCCCTGCCAGTGGAAAGGCATGCCGGTGTTATGGAA